TGGGAAGATTGTCCTGGATTATCTAGATGGTGCTTAACTAGAATCATAGATATCTATAAAAGCGAGGCAGACAGAGATTTAAAATAGAAGAGGAGAAGGCAATGTGACCAGTCACAGATGAAGGCCAGAGGTCATGGGTGGTGTCTTGATGGAGAGTTGGGGAGGGGAGATGAATGAAGGCAAAATACCGAAATGTGACCAAAATCTCACAGTTCAAAAGCCACTATACAGTCAGTCAATCAATATACAATTAGGGTTAACAGAGATCCTTACTTCTTCAAAAGCCAGCACTTTACAAATGCTGCAAAATATCTTGGCAACTAATGCATATGGTGTGCCACCTGGGTGAGGTGGCTGATCCCTGCAGTTGACACTCGGGGATCAACTGGGCAGCTCTATAGGGGACAGAGACCCAAGGGTTTTTCCTGGGTCGGGGGGCAGGGAGCAGATGCGAGCCTTGCCCTCGATTAAAACCATTTCCACTTACAGTACTGATGAACATCAGATGAGCTAAGGTGTTAGCATCCAGCCCTCTGGAACTCTCCTTCCTTCTAGTTAATACTCAGCCGCAAGCCAGTGTCAAAAAGCTTTTCCCTGGCTTTGCAGTGTGGGTTGCACGTGCTCTGCAAACTAGCAGGTAGGCCAAAATTCATATTGCTCCTATGCCAAAATGCAAACTCTTTTTCTTGACCTAAGAGGTCTGCAGGCAGATGGGGCCCACCCACCTCTCCAACTCCACCTCCCACCTCCCTACCCCTGGCTTATCATCTTCACCTCCCTCACCATGAGCAGGCTTCTCTTAGTTCTTGGAATCTGCCAAACTGGGATTTTGTGCTTGCTCTTCCCTCTACCTGGGAAGTTTTTCCCATGGCTGGTGCCTTCTCAACTTCCAAATCTCAGCTTCAGTGACACCTCCTGGAGGTAACTTCCTTGACCACTTCAGCAAAGATGTCCCCCACACCAAAAGCTTGTAATCATGCATTGCCTTTTCTTACTTCATAGTCTATCATTCTACAGAATTATTTTATTTGCTTACCTTCTCATTGGCTGTCTTCCTCTGCCTACCCCGTGACTCTCAGGGTAGGTTATTAACATTGTTCCTCATTCTACTCGTAGTACAGAGCTTGAAATATACTAGGTCCTTGATGAGTATTTGTTAAATGTAGTAATGGCTGAGGGAAGGCTGTAGAGACAGCCTCACAGATGAAGCTGAGGGCTACTGTTGCCATGGCACGTGGAAGAGGGAGGCCCAAGTGGAACCACTAAAAATCAAGGGCAGGGGAAAAGATTCTAGCCCGAGGCAGGCCAGGGAGAGGGGCTGCTACAGGCTAAGGCCGACAAAAACAGGATGGCAGACAGGATGCTCCTCAGCCTGGAAACTCACTGGAAAGGGCCCAAAGAAGCTCTAGATGGGCTAGTGGGGTCTCAAATGGCAAAGAAGACTTCTATGCTACTAGATGAGCCTCAAAGCCTTCAGATAGTGGAGTCAGTATAGAGGGTCAGTCCACGTAGGTGAGATCTGGGAAGGTGTATGAGAGATAAGGGTTGTGGAGGGGCCCCCCAAAATGCCCGTTGACTGGATGCTTTCCCAGAACATCCTCGCTGTCAGGTCTCTCTATGCAGTGGGATCCCTGCATCCTTTACATAGTTAATGATCACCTTTTCAGTGCATGATACAGCCCACCAGACCGTGAAAAACTTGGAGAGAAGCCCAGAGGCATCTTGGTATGATGGCTAAAGGTTAATGACTGTTTCATAGCCTGAGATTTTAGGCCCCATAAAGTGCTTCACAGCATTTCCACAGCCAGCGTGATATGGTGGGGAAGAGCCCTGCCTCTGAGACCAAGAGCATAAACCCAAGTCCAAGCTGTGTGACACTGGCCAAGTCATTTAACCTCTCTGTTCCTCATCTTTAAAATGTGCATGATGGTAGCCCTATTTCAGAAGGCTGTCATGAGGCTTAAATGAGTTTAGCCCATAAGGCACTCTGAACAGTGCCTGGCATACAGTAAATGCTATGGAAGTATTAGCTTGTATTGTCATTCAAGGAAGTAGCAGCGGGCTTTGAAATAGTATTCACAATATTACACAGAGATAACAATGTTAATTGTGAGTCCAGGCTGGTTCTTGAGGGCTGGTGGGCTAGTGTAAAGACTTATCTTACTTTATAATCTATCACAAGCCCAGTGTGATGGAACATGGTGAGGGAGGAATATGGTAAGGGAGATAAGCAAGGGACAGGGAGGTGGGAAGTGGAGTTGGAGAGGTGGGTGGGACTCATCTGCCTGCCAGACCTCTCAGATCAAGAAAAGGAATTTGCATTTTTGCCTAGAAGCAAAACAAATCTTGGCCTACCTGCTAGCTTGCAGAGCATTGGTAACCCACGCTGTAGTCCCAAAGCCAGCCAGGGAAATTCAGAGCTCTGGATGGTTCCCAGGCTTCCTGCACTCTCTAGGAACCAACTTGCCACTGTGGACAGATCATAATATTCCACTGTAACACTGTAGTTGGTCAGGCAGGGAGTTGGTGCAGAAAACTGGAATGCACGCGTTTCCTTCTGCGGAGGGATCATGCTTGTGCATTGGAACAAGCATGACAACGGTTTCTTTCTCTTTTTTTTTTTTAATTGAAAGGATGATGAGTAATTTCCTGTCATTGACTCCTGAATCATGGTTATATTTGATATGGAAGTTGTGATCCTGACACTTCCAATAACAAAAACAGCAACTTCAAGCCTCACGTGACTCTTAGCTTTAACAAAAAGAAGGGTGCTTCATTGGCAAACCTGGTCAGTTATGTGCTTTTCCAGATGTTGGATGCTCCTTTTAAAAAACTTCTTGTAGGAGAAAAAAGGGTTCCAGTCAAAATACATTTTTATTGTCTTTTACATTTACCTATGTTATTATCTTTACTGGTGCTCCCATTTCTTCATGTGGATTTGAGTTACTATCTAGTGTCTTTTCATTTCAGTCTGAAGGACTCCACTGGGATTTCTCGGAGGGAAGGGTGTACTAGCAACAAATTTGCACAATGTTTGTTTATGTGAATAGGTCTTAATTTCTCTTTCAATTTTGAAGGATTGATTGCTTTGTTGTCTACCAAATTCTTGTTTGACAGTCTCCCTTCCAAGCATTTTGATATAATATCAAAAATGTATTTTGATATTGGGTGGGGTTTTTCTAACTGCCTTGTGACTAGAAAAAAATGCCTTAAGTCTTCAAGGCTGGTGTGGCTAGTTAAGACCATATGTCATCCAACTGCCTTTTGGCCTCCATGGTTTTTGATGAGAAATCAGCTGTTCGTTTTATTGGGGAGTCCTTGTTTGTGATGAGTCCTAAATATTTTCTCCCATTTTCCTCCATGAAAGTTTATAGTTTTATGTTCTATATTAAATCTATGATTCATTCTGAAGTAATTTTTGCATAAGGTGCAAGGTTTAGGCCCATGTTCAGCTTTTTTCCATGATGGATCCAGAACTATTTGTTGAAAAGTTTGTCCTCCCTCCACTGAATTATTGTACTGAAATAATGGTCTTCACTAGCCATACCAGCCTAGAAGATTTTAATGCATTTTTATCTAGTCATAAAGCAATTTAAAAAACCCCATCCATTCAATATTTTATTTTGGGATTTAGAGATTTTTTATATAAGAATCATGGTCTTGTTCTTCCCCCTTCTTATCTTTAATAAGCAATCTTTCACTGTGGCTATAGAGAGTTAGAAAAATGTGGTGGAATGGGAATGCCAAGTCTGTAAATCTCAAACAGTTTCTAAAATGAGAAGGGAGATAAAAAAAAAAAAAAAAAAAAGAAAGAAAAAAAAAGAAAGAAAATAAAAAGAGAGTGGGCCTGGAGTTCAGCTTTGAATTCATCACTTTTTATCTGATTACCTTGGACTTCTTTCCTGTCTGCAAATAGAAACAATACTCCCTTCTTCACAGACTCCTTGTGATAAGTGACGGCTCACAGGTCAAACTTCCTGAGGGGGTCCTGCTGCACCTCCCTTCCTGCCCCAGGGAGAGGTGGCAGACCAAGCCTCTTTCTCCTGAAACCTGCCTCTCTTCCTGAGGCTGTAGGAGGCAGGTAGCAGAGGTGTCTGCAGGGAGGTGGGCAACTGGGGGGTAGATCTTGGATTAGTGTGCTAATGGGGGATGGGGGTGCCTCTATGTGCTCCTCATCTAGTGCCCCACACTGCACACCCGCCCTGCTTGAGCTCTGGCTGTAGAGAAAGATCAATGAGGATGTAAATGGATTAGGAAAAGCCTGCCTGGCTTCTTCCTGTACCACCCAGCACCTGGGTCTCTGGAGATTAGTGGGTGGCGGCTTTGTCAGGGAGATAGACATTTAAACATCAGCTTTGGTCTAAAGGCCCTGCTTCCCAGAAGAGAGGGAAGAGAAGACTAGCCCTCTTCAGCCTCTCCAGTTTCTCTGTGAGGCTGCCCTTTTCTGAAATGTGGAGCTTATACTTCTGTCTAGTGAGTCGCTCTTGCACTTCAGGCAGGTGCTGGAGAAAGGGGTGGTACTGGCACCAAATCTAACTCTGCATGTGGCAGCCAGAGATGAAAGATGTGAATCATGTATTGCAGGCAAAAATGGTTAGCTAACTTCCCCAGAGAGAGAAGGAGAGGAGGCCACACACTACCCAGGTGTAGGTTACTCTCTGCAACAGCTTGCGCCCAGCTGGGAGGTGCTGTTCTCATGCTTCATTTGGTCATTCATGTATTTATTCATTTAACCTTTCATTTGGGAATTTGTTTGTTTACTCATTCACTGAGAACTGACCAGCCAGCCTGGCCAGTCCCCCAATTAATGTTTCTTTAACTCTTCTGTGTGCTTGGCTCTCTGCCTGACCCCAGAGACCTAGGTGATGAAAACACAGTTCCGGTGCACGGTGCACAGGGAGTGGCCAGACCATGCCTGACTGGGCCAGAGTGGCGAGTATGGGCCCGGACATGTTCCTGGACATTACAGGGGCACTGTCACATGCATGTCTTTATCGTAGGCATGAGCCTGTCCTCTGTGACACTGGCCAGTGCCCTGCAGGTCAGGGGTGAAGCTCTGTCTGAGGAGGAAATCTGGTCCCTCCTGTTCCTGGCCGCTGAGCAGCTCCTGGAAGACCTCCGCAATGGTAAGAGAGTATGCTTGGGGCGGTAAAATCACAGGGGGTTGTATGTGAAGCTTCCCACACTAACACAGTTCTGGCTGCTGCTGCTTTTTTTAAAAAACATTTTTTCTTTTCAACCTCTGAGGGCACAGAACAAGGTTGCTGCTTCTTGATCTGTGATTAGTCTGAGGTATTAGAATGAGTGGGCGAATAGCACCCACCCTTGGAGCTGCACTGGGAGGGCAGGCCTGTCTCTTGGACCCATGCCATGTGGCAGAGTTGAAAGAAAGGCTTTGCTTCCGCCTTGGAGTTGCAGCATTTCCAGGCATGCAAAGCTGGGAGGATTTAGGAAGACAGTGGCTGCAGTGCTATGTGCATCTAACAGCACATAGGCTGTCTCTGGGCATAACCAGAGATGAGAGACATGGGATGGTCACCCAGGAGACCCCCACACTCTGTCCACCATATGTCGCACTAGTCTGTGCCCCATCAGAAGGCAGGCCTGGCCGGGCGCGGTGGCTCACACCTGTAATCCCAGCACTTTGGGAGGCCAAGGTGGGCAGATTACCCCAGGTCAGGGGTTTGGGACCAGCCTGGCCAACATGGTGAAACTCCGTCTCTATTAAAAATACAAAAAAAAAAAAAAAAACCGAGACGGGTGGATCACAAGGTCAGGAGATTGAGACCATCCTGGCTAACACGGTGAAACCCCATCTCTACTAAAAAATACAAAAAACTAGCCGGGCGAGGTGACGGGCACCTGTAGTCCCAGCTACTCGGGAGGCTGAGGTAGGAGAATGGCGTGAACCCGGGAGGGGCAGCTTGCAGTGAGCTGAGATCCGGCCACTGCACTCCAGTCTGGGCGATAGAGCGAGACTCTGTCTCAATAAAAAAAAAAAAAAAAAAAAAAA